CAAATTACGATGAAGAAAAGGAGACCAAAGAAGATGACCAGCCAATTAAGAAACCTGACACCTAATTCGCATCAAAGTTCAATTTTACAACACCAAAGTTAATTTTTACAACGTCAAAGTTAATCTTGACAAAGTCAATATTTCCCTATATATATACAACAAGGAGCACTGACGATGATTCATTTGGAATCGAAATATGGCCTTGTTTGCAGCATGAATTCGAAAAATAAGTTTATTTTGAATTTTAATAAACTTTCATCAAAAAACTTTAGTGAGAAAAATCGAAAAAACGAACTACAAACATATTAACGCCAAACATTCGGTAGAATTTATAGAATATTGTGTGTGTATATATATATATATATATATATATATATATATCTATATATATATATAGATGATTAAGTTTATTTAACTCTTACTAGAAATTAGTGTGCATTTTTGAATCAGAAAAGCCTTTTTCGAAAATTTATATTTCCATAACCAATGTTAATTTCCGTGTTGATTATCTCCTTATATAAGTTGTTGTAACTTTGTTCCTATGTTAATAAAGTTTTTAAGAGTTTTTAAGACTTTGTATCTCTTTGTGTGTCGTCTCAGTAAATCGATTTCTAATTTTATGCGATGGTAGAACGCCAGTGGCTTTTTGTTGAGTATTTATAATCGGATGTCTTTGTTCATTCAAAAGTGATTCTGCAATTAGTAGTTCTTGCTATTATTATAATGTAGAACTTCAATATTGTTATCAAGGATGTCTCTAGTGAGTTTTGTTTTGTTTTTGTCTTTCAGGTGGTTTTTGATAGCGCCAGATTGAACGTGCATAGTAAGTCTTTTTGATAATTTGGTGTCAGTGACTTAGGTGTAAACAATCAACAATTTTGCTTTATATATATATATCTCACATCTCAACTCAATTTAATGTTTTTTATCTCAACATCGCATTTCATCATTTCCCAACGTCTTTCAATATGCATCACAAATCTTAAAAAACTCTGGCATATCTTAACATACAACAACAAACACCAACATACTTCAACTTATGGCTGCAACAATTGATATAAAAACATCTTTCACCGTAACTGAACTGGAAGCATAACCAACAAATAGTCACTTGGATAACAAATAAACATACATACAGACAGACAGAGAAACTGACAAACAGACAGGTAGCAGAACGTGGTGAACTTTCCCCTGGTGTCTGGCAAGGTTGTAAATAAATTGATAGGCAAGTTTGTAGGTGGAAACGTCTGCGAGTGTCTCCAACATCGAATGACCTTCAACTGTTTATCACATCACGCCAAATTTCTGCGCTGAATGCATTTTAATGGCAACCCTTGTGCCTTGTAATGTAGCTTCATGCTTGGGTTCGGTTCACGTTTTAAAGCAGTAATTTTTTATCGCTTTTTGTTTTGTCGTTTGTTGGTTTGTTGGTTTGATTGTTTTTGCATTAAAAGGATGTTGTCTCGTTTGTTCTTTCGTTCACTTGATGGTTCGTTCATTTGTTTGTTCGTTCACTCTGTCGCTTGCTGCCTACTTTTATTCTCATTCAATGGTTCCGTAACTTTCTTGCGTCTACATGAGGAATTTTATTTCCATGTTTCATTATACGAATAATTCCGATTTTTATCGAAGCACGACTGTCATCACTCTTTCTGCAGAGTTTGTTATTAAATACTGAGTTTTATTTTATTAACAAATATAATCAGCTCGCAGACATTTCACTTCTCACTCTTCAAAATTCACGTTTTCTTTGTCAAATTTCATCACTCCATTCCTTACCCTATTGAAATAGTTCCAGCACTTACCAAAAAAAAACATTCCGTCAAATGTAAATTATCTTCAAATACCTTTTAAATATTGTTCCATAGTATCGGCTCATTACCTCTAAATAATTGTTTTTATCAAGTGGAGAGCAAATTTTTTAATATGAATGTTTATGCCGGTCTGAAATAGTGATTGAGGTCGTCAGGTCATGCTGATGTTATTGCCAGACGCGTTGCTTTTTGTGCTGTTGTTGTTGTTGTTTGTTTATCATTCTGTTATTGTTGTTTATTTATTGTTTTGTTATTGTTTATTTGTTGTTGTTGCTTATCTATTCTGTTGTTGTTCCTTCTTCTTTTTTCTTTTTTCTTTGTTCTTGTTTGTTTGTTCTTTTGTTTGTTTGTTGTTTATGTAACGTTGTTTGACTTGCTGTATGTTGCTTAGTTTTTATAATGTTGTTTGTTATGATGGTAGGTACTGTTGTTGGTTTTGTGGTCGTTGATGTTGTTGTTCACCCCTGTGTTTGTCTGGTTTTGTTCATACCAATGATGTTGGTGTTCTGATAACGTGGTGATGTTGTGCCGATGCCAGCTCTCAGGATTCACTTATTGTTTTCATCGATGTTAATTAATGTTTTTGTTCGTCTTGATTTTTGTTGAAGTGTACTACAATATTTTCCATTTTGACTCTTGCATATATTTTGCTCCCAAAGTTTTCATTCAACACAATGCCAACAAGTCATCTTAAAACCGTATTAACACATTATTTTTATTACAATGCTAATTTATAAATCCGGAAATGTTAATATTGGTCAGGTCTATTAAATATTTCAATTGATTAAGTTTTGGTATATTGAATAATAAAATTACTTGTAAAAACAAAAAATTACAATAACAATGAAACAAAAAAAAAAATAGAATTTTCACGTTGGTTCGTCGCTTCATTGGACAGTAGTATAAGCCATCTGTCATTTTCATTGGCTGGCTAATGCAATGCGATGCCTCTATAATTACTTCCAATACTTTTTTCAACATTTTTTCTCATTTTTTGCTTGCTTCGCCACAACTTTTTTCTTATTAAATTTCATTTTTTCATTTTTATAGTTCGAATCTGATGAGTTTTTATGCCGACATTGAGGCTTATAATGACTATATCGCCCTGCTGGGATGAAATCACTTTTGAAGGCGCAATCTGGAGCGTGAAATTGAAAATTAATAAAAAAAAGTTTATTCATCGAATAAAAATTCAAATTTCAATGCTTTGTCTATCGATGAAAAAAATGGAAAAAATAGAAAAAAATGGAAAAGAAGCAAAAACATAAAAGAGGAAGACAATTTATAATGGCGTCAGATGTTCAACTAATCGTAAGACCATCAACTTGCCTATTATATCTAAGAAAGAAAGAGTGAAAGAGAAGAGAGAGAGAGAGAGAGAAAGAAAGAGAGAAAGAGAGAGAGAGAGAGAGAAAAAAAGAGAGAATAAAACAATGAGCGGAAGAAAGAGTCAAATAATATAATATAAATAAAAATGACAGAAACAAAATAAATAATGGAAGAAATAATGAAAAACATAAAAAAATTATTCAGAAAATTTTGTGTAAACAACACTAAAATAAAACAATATTTTGAATATAATTGTGAAAGTTATTAAAAAAATATGACAGCTGATAATTATGAATAAATAAAATTTAAATGTTTATAAAAATATTTTGCAAGCAAATTTAAACAAAAATTGAATAAAAATCTTTTCAAAATCTACGAACATAAATTCTTCTGGTGAAAATTTGAAATCGCGTCATGTTTGAAATTTAAAATTCATGGTTGGCAAGTGTCTCAATATGTACCAATATAAATATTAGTACGATGCTTCAGTTGAATAATTTACTTTATAATTAATTAAAATCATCTGCCTTGAATTTATTTTGACAGCATTTGACTCTAACTCAAACGTAACATGCATGTTCAAAACGTAGTTACTCAGAGACACACAGACACGCAAACTCACTCAGAGACACAGAGACACACAGACACGCAAACTTATTCAAGCATACGCACACGGACATGTGCTGCTTTTAAAAACAAACAATTAGAAAAACATTAATGCGTAAAATTAAAATGTCGTTTTAATATTTAATGTCAGCATTGAATGTTTTCAGGTTTTGCTTTTGTGACGTTCGAGAACGAGGAGGCAGTAGATAAAGTGTGCGACATACATTTCCATGAAATCAACAACAAAATGGTAAGTTCCAGATGTTGCACTGTTGTTGATGTGGCTGACGTTGTTGCTGCTGATGTTGTTGTTGCTGCTGATGTTGTTGTTGTTATTGTTGTTGTTGTAGACATCATTGTTGTCGTTGGTGCAGATGTTGCTAGTTTCATTATTATTATTGTGTTTGTTGTCGATGTTTATTTTTATCGTAGTTAAGGTTTTATGTGACGAGATGTATGTTGTTGATATTGTTTTTTCTTCTGTTGTTGTCTCAATAGCTATTTTGTTTTAGCATTTGGAAGTTCACTGTTTTTGTTGATGTTAATGTTATTGATGTTGTTGATGATGTTATAGTTGATGTTGTTGTTGTTGATGTTGTTGATGTTGTTATTGATGTTGTTTGTGTCCGATTATGTTATGTATTTTTAGTTTCGGGACAATTGATGTATTAAAACAATCTATTTTGATATAACTGCGTACTTTTGCTGGAATGAAAATCCATGCTGGTTTCTTAATAAGGGTTAATGCATTTGCTTACAATTTTTATAATGTTATAACTGATAAACATTTTGGCTGTTTAATTAATGGCTGATACGATTTTAATGCAAAAATTAAATATTTCTCAAAAAAAAACTTTGTTAATGTTTGTGATGTATGTTAATGAAAAATCACACAAAAACTTTAATAACTCTGACTTACACACACAATATTCTTACACACACGCACACACACACACACCACACACACATTCATACATACACAAACACACAAATCTTACACACGCACACATTTTGTTACGTTTTCAACTCACTAACCACATTTTTTCTTAATCTAAGAGCTAGGCTATAAGAATCAAAAAAGTTCTTGCCAATAGTAATTTTTAGTTGATCACGCAATTTGAAGAGTGATGGATTTCTTAAAATTTCACTGCCATTTTAAGTGTTTTAAATTCATTATGTCAGTTTATAAAATGTTTGTAAAAAAAATATTCCAAGTTAGATAGCTAAGAAAAGTAAATTAAATTCACAAGCAATAAAAAGAATTTTGAATTTTCTTTGAAACGATGTATTTAATTTTTAATAAGGTTGAATGCAAGCGGGCTCAGCCAAAAGAGCTCATGGTCTCGCAAAGTCTTACAAGACGTTAGTGTTTATTGTTGTGCGAATGTTGTTGGTGTTGGATGGTTATGTTGTTGTGTGAGAATGTTTAAGTTGCTACCTGGTGGTTACGTGGTTGTAGTTTAATAACTGCTGTTGTTTCAGTCTTTAGACACTTGAAATTCGAAGGTTGCGTTGACAGGCGGTTGATTATGATTGGTCGTCGTGTTTTTGTTGGGATTATGATTGCATTGTTGTTTCAATTGTTGGTCAAATTGTAGTTTTGCGACATTTTTCATAATTTTTAAATTGAATTACACTTTTTAAGGTTTTCACAAAAATAAATGTTTCAAAAATATATACCTATCTTGATTGATGTGAAAGGAAAGAAAATATTGACCTCATATCAATAACACTAGTGTCACCATGGATCATATATTAACAGTGCATATATTTCAATATATATATATATATATATATATATATATAGTGCATATATTTCAATATATTTCAAATCATATATTTCAATTTTTGATGTTACTTGTAGTGCAAACAGTTATTTGTAGTACAATCGGTGTGTGTGGTATAAGCTATCTCTATGTACCACCATGGTACTTGTGATACAATTGGTCGGTACTCGTTGCTTGCTCTCATGCTTTCATTGATAAATAACGATGACATTTTTATTTCTGTGGTATATCTCAAAATTTCTAAATAATAATTCTTACAATTATTAACATATCTACTTTTATAGAACAATTTTTTGTTTTTATTTTATTTAGTAATAAATAAAATGTTGAGGAATGAAATGAACGATGTTGTGAATGTAAGCAGTGCAAATGTATCTGATATTTCAGGCATGGATGAACACTTTCAGTTTCCATTGCGACTTTTTATACCAAAAATGTCAACTGAACTTGTTTTGTGTCAGAATTTATTGAAACATTCAGTACTGAAATCAAGCTGCTCAGATTTTTTGTATAAACCACTAAGTTTAAGCTTTCCTCAAGCAAACATTCATTGCAAATGCTTCAACATGTGAGGATTTAAACCATTCTTTTAGTTGCATTTAGTGTACAACCTTACTTACTTTTGACAAGATTGTTTTTTTTAATTTAAATATTGATGCCCAAGTGTTAAAAGCTTATAAACAAACGATAATGTGATAACAAACTATTTAAAATTTTCTTGATAAGTGGGTAAAATTTCATTTTTTCAAAATGATTTTAAATGAAAGTTTCAAGATATATGTGCACGTAGAGATTATTTTATTAATTTATTACACATAAAACTGCTTGTGCTACTACTATTACTACTACTATTACTACTCCTCCTCCTCCTACTACTACAACAACAACAACAACAACAACTACTTCTACTACTACTACTACTATTACTACTACTATTACTACAACTACTATTCTAACAAAAACAACAACCACTACTACTAATTCTGCAACTCTGCTACTATTACTAATACTACTACAAATAATACTACTACTCCTCCTTCTCCTCCTCTTCCTACTACTACTACTACTACTACTACTAATACTTCTACAACTACTATTCTAACAAAAACAACAACCACTACTACTAACTCTGCAACTTTGCTACTATTACTATTACTACTACTATTACTACTACTACTTCTACTACAACTACTACTACAACTACTACTATTACTATAACTACTATTCTAACAAAAACAACAACTACTACTAACTCTGTTACTATTACTACCACTACTACTATTACTATTACTACTGCTATTACTACTACTACTACTACTACTACTACTAATAATAATAATAATAATAATAATAATAATAATAATAATAATAATAATAATACTAGCGCTACTTCAACTTCAGAAACATTAGCCATCCCCGGCAGGAAATTGTAACCTTACCACCACATGCGCGGTCATTAGACTAGTTGAGATTTATGGATGGATGGATGGTTGGATGGATGAATGGATGGATGGATGGTTAGATGGATGAATGGATGGATGGATGGTTGGATGGATGAATGGATGGATGGATGGTTGGATGGATGGATGGATCGATGGATGGATCGATGGATGGATCGATGGATCGTTAGATGGATGGATGAATGAATAGTTAGATAGATGAATAAATAAATGGCTGAATGAATAAATATGTGAACGGATAAATAGATGGTTTTTATAATAGTTTGATGAATTGAATGATAAGTAGACGGAAAAATAAATGCGTTGATCAATGAATTTCTGATTGATTAAATGAATAGATGGATATGTGAATGAATGAATTCCTGAATGATTAAATGAATAGATGGGTAATAGGATGAATGAACGAACGAAAAATTAGTATGTGAAGTTTAAAAACGACGTTAAATTAATAATTAAAAATTTATTTATCATTTGCCATTAATCATCTGATGTGCCAAACTACGCTTCTTTAGCCACTGTACGATGATGACGATCATTAATATAGCGATTAAGACAGTGCTGCCCTAACAGTGTGATAAAATGATGCTGATATTTTATAACGCAATGTTTGGCGATGATAATCATATAAATATGATGATGAATATCATGATGAAATTTGCGTTAGGACCTGCAACTATTGTGATATTAATGATGATGATGATGAAGATGATGAAGAAGATGACTACATGGCGTTATCAGAAATTGGGTTGTTATTGTTGTTAAAATAGGTAAACTTTAATCTGAAAAATGTTTCACGGTATTTTTATAAATTTGTTAATGATTTTTTTGTTATAAAATGGTCAAATTTTATTAATCAATTTTATTTTATTAGCACTTATGGGCATTATTTAATTATCTCTTAACAATATTTATATGAAATCAAAAGAAAATTATTTTAAGCTCAACACCGATATTTGCATAGTTTACGCTGATTTTTTTTTACAAAAATCGTTTTAAAATAGCTAATGTTCTATTTGAATTTCAAACATCTTTATCGAAGACACACACACACACACACATATACACACACGCGCTTGCTTGCATACACATACACACGCACTCACACACTGACACACACACATGCACATATTTTTAACAAAATCTTGATCTTTATCACCGTCACCAAACATTTAACATCAAATTTGAGATTATTTTTAATAGTCTGTTGTTTCATCCAACCATCATGTGATTCATTTGTATATCATTCATTTTATGAATTTTTAAATTTTTCAATTAACCATTTCAAATGAAGTAGTTAATTTGATAACGACAAATTTTGACAAATTTTGACAGCTGGTTTGATTCCAGTAACACTGCCAGCCTACTTTGCATCATTCGGCAGAACTTATCAGGTCGCTGGTCTATCTGGCTATTATTATCAAGGTTTGTTCCTCTGCTGGGCATTCATTCATTTTTTGGCCCCAACTTTTATCATTATATCGTTGTCATTTTTGTTATTTTGTCAGCTTTATCAAATTAGTTTTGTCAACTTTTCGTCTAGGTCATTCTTTTATTTCTTTAGTAATATTGCTAACCAATTTTTAATGTAATGAAAAAAATCATTCATGTGTTAATCAATCCAAACCAATTCTTGTGTTGATCGTTTTAATGATGTTGAATAACTGATATATGATCGTATATTAAGCTTGCAGAATCATTGCAGTTGCAGAACGGTTGGCGTGTTAGCTAGTTCAGGCAGGTGAAGTGTCATGTCTCGAGTTGTTGCTATTCCGCATTGACCTGGTTCAAATACTCTTTCCCCAAAACTCAAATTATTATCATTCGCCATGTGCGTCTTGTGGTGTGGATGTTTCGATCAATCTCTCTAAAGAGAACATTTATCGAAACTGAGTAAGAAACCATGCGACTTCTTACGTGCTATTTTATTGTTTCCATCTTCCACCAGCGACGAACTTGCATGCCAGGCTACTGCCAGCAGTTCAACCTCAATCAACGATTCTTTTATCAACATCATCGAAACAATGAAATGAGATCTACCATAATAAAAACCACATCAACATAAGCAATAACAAAAGCACGGTCAGCAGCAACAACAAAAACCTAAAAACATCGACACAAACAACAGTACAAAGAACAACACAGACAGTAACAACACAAACAACAACAACACAAATAACAACAACACAAACAACATCAACAAATCTCTAACCGACAAAAGCGATTAAATTGTCGCCGTTCATCATATTTTCCATTAAAAAATTATCGACAATCTTTTAGTGGTGGCTTTCCAACCAGCTATCGCGTTCAAATTGATTCTCTATTCTCTTCTGCATGTGTTTCTTGAAAGCGTTTTTACGATTGCAACTACGTATCTGTCTGTATGTCTGTCTGTTTTGTCTGCTTGTTTGTTTATGCCTGGACATGTTAACGTATGTGTTAAAATTCAAAATAAACTTATTTTTCGAATTCATGCTGCAAATAAGGCCATATTTCGATTCCGAATGAATCATCATCAGTGCTCCTTGCTGTATATATAGGGAAATATTGACTTTGTCAAGATGAACTGGTGACCAGCCAATAAAGAAACCTGACACGTAATTCGCATCAAAGTTCAATTTTACAACACCAAAGTTAATTTTTACAACGTCAAAGTTTATTTCGAATTTTAATAAACTAAACGTTCACCAAAAAACTTTAGTGAGAAAAATCGAAAAAACGAACTACAAACATATTAACGCTAAACATTTGGTAAAATTTATAGAATATTGTAAATATGTATGTATGTATACATACAGTTATATTTGTATTGTGACATGGAAATGATGGGGGCATGTTATGAGTGGTGTCAGTATACGTGGCGTTCAGCTGTCTGCTCTTCCTTCAGCTGATTGAATTTGTATGCAACTCGAAACCTACCTGTATAGATGGATAGATGAGTCGATGATGGATGGATGGATGGATGGACGGATGGATGGATGGATGGATGGATGGATGGACGGATGGACGGATGGATGGATGGATGGACGGATGGATGGATGGAAAAGAAGTTGGAGAGATAGTGTAATGGAGATTTATGGTTGCATGGATAAATGAATGAAAAATTACTTTGTTAAGCAGCTAGAGAAATCGATGAACGAGTCGATAAATTAATAGCTGAGTGAATGTAGCAAAATAGCGTACTATTGGATTGCTGGTTATTGTTTCAATGTCAGTCAGCTTAGAGTTTGGTTGTTTTGTGTACAGTACTACAAATAAATTCTTAAAACGCAATAAAAATCAATAAATGGAAATGTGACTGAATGGTAAAAATTCTTTTAAAATTGATATAGATTATGAAATTTTATTAAAAACGTTTAGTAAATTATCGATTTAGTATGTTCTGTGTTTTATATAAATACTGGATTTGTTGGATGTTAGTAATTTCACGTGGGCGACTAAATATTTTGTTAGTTGAATGTGTTTCATTAAGTTTAAAACTAGAAGTTTGAACATATGCTGATGATATGAAAAAATACATCTAAAAAAAATTATGGATCGACCGACTAACATACAACTCTCACAAAACATCTTAAAAGATATTTTTTTTTTCATTTTAAAGAAAAATTTGTAAAAGTTTTCTTTTCTTTGAACAGTATTGAAAAATGTTAAATAGTGTTCTAAAATGCTGACAATATCAAATATGTTGTTTGCAAGTGTGCGTGTATGGTATATTTAATAATGCAAACGTAGTCAGTGTACGAAGCAACCAACCAGCCAGCCAACCAATCAACTCCAGACCACCAACCAACCAGCCAACCAGCCAGCCAACCAATCAGCCAGCCAATCAACCAACCGACTACCAACCAACCAGCCAGCCAACCAATCAGCCAGCCAACCAAAACGCGGCATCCAGTTTGATAGTTTCACATTTGCACGTGCGTATGTGCGTGGAGACATCTGATACGCGTCTATATTGTCATCTTTCAATTATAAGTCTGACAATAAAACCGGTCTAACTTTCCTTTTGGCATCGGCGTCATTATCTCAAATACAATCTTCCACATCCTCTTCACCTTCATCTTCAATCTAATTCAGCATGATGTGTACAGCTTTCAAAATTTTCTTCTTTATTATACAAACTTTTTCTTAAATAATCTTTGTGGGAATTTTATATTTAATAATAGTGTTATAATAACATTATTTAATAATTATTATTTAAGATGTGATTTATTCCGTTTTGATTCATATAATTTTTTAAAAATAAACTTGAAAAACTTCTATCGGGTTTATGGTTTCATTGTAGTAATCATTAACATGGTCATCACCACACCACCCCAATCAGCATCACAATCGCCAACATCACCAACGAACACCCACGTAGCGATTCCAGGGTACAACTACTTGGCGGCCACACCGATCACAGCCACAGCCTTCACCTACCCGCCACACGGCGTAACTCCAGAGCACCACGCACGCATCAGCTACATACCACGCGACATCATAACAGCAACCGGAAGTGCAGCTTCTTTTTTGACTTCCGCTCGTCTGGTGGCTCCACCCACACGACTTGAACTCACGCACGCCAACGGAAACAGTTTAACAGGACCAGCCGTCATGTCGCCTGTGTTGCAATGCGCTGCCGAGCAACAACATTTTGTCATACATCAACAACCCATCAACATTAGAAGCAACCAGCAACAACAACTACCACAGCACAACGCTGTGGCGCTCATCAACAGCAACAGCAGCAACAGCAATAGCAGCAACGGTTGCAGCAACTCGCAGCGGTTATCGCAACAGCAACAACAACCGCAACAACATCAACTGCAACTTCAACAGCAGCAACAAGCAGCGCAGAGTTTGTTGACACTGCAGGAATATCCACAGGAAAGCAACGGTGTAGATTTCGGTAAGTGATATTCAATTTTCATCTTTAGCAAATATTGCTGAATAGACCGCCTTCAATTTTTCTTCTTTAGCTTTTTCCACCATTTTCAACAATTTCCCCATTTTAATTTTTTTCAAATTTTTGTTTGAAGGTGTAATAATTAAATTAGAATAATTACTACAATAAATGTTTGTGTGATGAAGATATTTTATATCGATTTTGTGTATTTAATTAACAGGAGTGATAATTCAGAATAAAAAAAACATCTTATCATTGATATTATTATCTATCATATCAATGATATCATCTATCATATCAATGATATCATCTATCGTATCAATCTACCTTCACTGATATCATCCATCACATCAATTCACCATCAATGATACCATCTACCACATCAATACGCCGTCGCTGATATCATCTATCACATCAATTCACCATCAATGATATCATCTATCATATCAATTCACCATCATTGTAATCGAAATGGAAAAAGACGAAATTCATTCAGTTGTATTTACCATTTACCATATCAATTCATCTTTGTTTTTTTTTTTGTCATATCAATCATCACCATTATCATCGGCAATCATATATCATATCAATTTATTGACATTATCATCAGCTATCCTATATCTTATCACTTAATCACCATTATCATCATCATCATCTGCCATATCAATTCACCGCAATTACAGCTATCTACTATACCAATTCATCACCATTATTACATTTGCATAGATATAGCTATCACATATATCTATCATCTTTGCTATCATTAACCATGTCGATCCATCATCATCATTATTATCGTCTGCCATTTTAATTCATTCATCAGAGCGTTCATTTTTTATATAGGACGTGATGTTGATATAGCAAATGCAAAAATTTAACTGCATCTCTTTTTTGAAGAGTAGCAAAACGTTTTCAAACAAATAGCTAATTGAAAATACATGAAAAATACATGAAAAATACATGAAAAATACATGAAAAATTATTTTGTTCGGGAAAATTTTTATCATTTTCATTAACTCCACGTAAATTTTCACATTTTTAACAAAAATTAGTTTTTTCTAATAAATTGTTGCTTGATTAATTTTTCATGATTCAAAATTTTTTTGGCGAAACGATTAACGGTGATGTCAAATTGGCTATCCATTATATGTTTGATAACGTTCATTTGCCTTGTGTTTTCATTTTCTCCGTTTTTGTATTTTTGACTATTTGTCTCATTGTTCGAATATGTATGCAATCTATAGTGATACATACATATATATATATATATATATATATATATATATATGTATATATGTGTGTGTGTGTGTGTGTGTGTGTGTGTGTGTGTGTGTGTGTGTGGGTGGGTGGGTGTTTGTATGTGTGTGTGTGTTTGTGTTTGTGCGTGTATGCATTTTTTCATATATTGATACATTTGTAAATATGCATAGATAGATGCAGTATATATAATGGTGTATATGTAATAATGGAGTAATTCGTTAAATTGCCAGTTTCTATACTTAAATATCTCTATTTCACTACTCTTGACCTATCATTTTCAACTAACATTTCAGTTGCTACCATCATCTTCTTCTTCTTCATCCTCATCTCCGCCATCATCGTCATCCTCATCGTCTTCTTCCTAATCAGCTTCATCGTCATCCTCATCGTCTTCTTCCTAATCATCTTCATCATCATCCTTATGATCATCTGCATCATCATCATCATCATCATCATTCACTTGATTTTCTTCTTAATGTTCTTTTACATATACTCACATACGCTTGATACACGCACACACAAACATATATACATACATACACACAAACATAGATACACACACTCATACGCACACACATACAAGAATTTGTACACACTACATACACACGAAACCACAGATATGAATAAATAATCATATAACCGCAACAAACGAATGAGTTTGTCATGTTTTGATATTTCAATTAGATTCTCTTTCTCTGAAAATAAAAGGACCATGTTTGCCACTTTCGATGATGGTAATCTTTTCCATTGGAAAATTTTTCTTAACGATGTTGCTTGCGTCATCTTCGTCGTTGGCATTTTCATCATCACTCTCTTTGATGTTTTTCATTATTGTTACATTGCCTTGCAAATTTACTTGCCACTTTAACATTCAACAGGGCCGGCATTAGGCAGAGGCAAACTAGGGCCTCCGACTTTTATGGGCCTCGCCGTGCAGATTAAAACAACTTTTTTTAGAAATCCTACTTCAATAAATTAATTTTAAATACTCAACTAACAAGCAAGAATTTATCATAAGACAAACGTATTTAGGTTAAAATTTTTTTGAATGTGCAAAATTTTCTTGTGCACATTTTTTGAAAATGTCACTTGGGGCCACCAAATTTTTTTGCCTAGGGCCTCCTACTACCTAGGGCCGGCTCTGCTTTCAACAGGAACTTGGCACTCTCTATGGCTACTACATTTTCAAGTCAGATGTCATTCTTAACTTGTCTAGCATGTACATTGATACCAAACTACTTTCAACAGACAACTACGACACATGTATCCGACGCAAATTCCTATAAATACACCTCAAGCCCCTCTGCTTAATTGTGTTTTAGTTCATCAACTCTGCAGTACTGAGCTGCATGCTTCGTAACCAATTTTTGATTCAATGTTTAAATGTATTGTTAATTAAAACATTTATATTATGAATGATATTTCCCAGTGTTTCCACAAGGGACAACCATATCAATGTTGAACGGCTATCCAGCGCAAGGGGGACCAACCATCCACCAACACCAACAGCACAACCACCTCTCGCGTTCATCCAACAACTACCACTCACCCAATTCTCCCTCTCTTCATCATCATCAGCTTGAACTCTATGCCACCGCATCATCACATCACCACCACCACCATCACAACAACGTCACATTCGAGCACCAACCTTTTGCTTTTGCTGTCGGGGTAAGTCGATAGTGATGATGATGGTGACCATGATAATGATGATGTTGATTACGGTGATGATGATGATGACGATGATCATAACGACGGTGATACGATGACGATGATAACAATGGTGATGATGGTGGTGTTGATGATGGTGACGATGACGATGATGGTTATAACGATAATGACTTGATTATAAACCTAGTGGCAATGATGAAAATTACGACCATAAGGATAATGATGATGTATACAAATTATGATTAAGATATTTATTTGTCTGATGGTATAATTATTATTATTTACCATGATTATGAGAGCTTAGATGATATTAATGTTTGATGATAGTATTATTCTCCTTCTTATATTACAAAAACATTTCCCAGATCAACTCCAAGCTAATCACACTGATGTCCATTGAATACATTTATTGCGTCAAATCATATTATTTATTTACAATAAATATCTATAATAACCACGCATGTTTGCTTCTTTGTTTGTATTTATGTATGTGTGTGTGTATGTATGTATGTATGTATGCATGTATATATGTATGTCATGTATGTATGTATGTATATGTATGTATGTATGTATGTATGTATGTATGTATGTATGTATGTATGTATGTATGTATGTATGTATGTATGTATGTATGTATGTATGTTAAAACCAAATCAGCGATGAGTGACACTAAACAGTCAAACATCTGAATAAAATCGGTTAACAATTGATATCTCGTTATTCACTCACGTCGGCGTTTAATTGAACATTTTCGGTAACACAGAGCGCAAAAACCTTTGCAGCAAACAAGATATATGATTCATGGCGAAAAATAGCTCTCTGCTGTCGCCGGACCTGCCACTTATCATTTTGCAAATCTTTTTAAAAAATATTGAAGTGTTGTTGTCCATCGGGCCAAGAACCTCGATGCAAACAGGTAAAAAATCCATCGAGGGCAGGGCACCTTCATATTTTTTAAACTTTTCATCCGATGCCCTGGTTGCGGCCAAACCACTTTCTTTGCTGGTTAAGTGCACGTACCGTTCCGCTAATGTGCCCGGAACGGTTACGTCCCACGCCAGGCATCTACCGGCTCTCCAAGGAATCAACGTTCAGCCATCCGGGCGTTTTCCATCCAACGCGGAAATTCCCGAGGGCTCTTTAAGAACGGGTATTGAAGCCTTGGAGAAAAGCCGGCAGATGTAATCATTTAACGCGGAATGGCGCAACTGACGACCTCCACCTAAACGACAGACCAGGCCGTGGTGACCGAGTTCGTTAGCTTCCGCACCGCACCTACACAGATATTTATGGTGGACCGTTAAACCCAGACGAAAACCAATAGCCATCCTGACCGTCTCATCATCCAGTCGGGTACCCACCGATGAGTTGGGCCAGGATCTCAACCAACCGCAGCTCGCGTCGCTTGACGCGGCCAGCAGACGAGCCGAAGTTGCATCGTCGGGACTAGAGGACAACAAAAACTGAAAAGTTGTTTTGTATGCCTCTTCTAGCAACCGAGCTTGAAAATGTTTTGCATGGTTGGGTGATGCTGGTGGGGTACCAAGATTCGTGAAAGATTGCCGGAGCAGGGGCATATATGTATGTATGTATGTATGTATGTATGTATGTATGTATGTATGTATGTATGTATGTATGTATGTATGTATGTATGTGTGTGTGTGTGAGCGCATGTGATGATCTATCAAGAGACAGTTATTTTAATAGGTAGGGAAGTTAAATAGATGAAGTAAGTTTTGCGATTTCAACTGTGATCTTGTGGGAAGAGATGCAGAAGTTTGGACAGTGGTGATATACATTTATGGGGATGATGGTGATGATAATGTTGATGGGGTGTGGTGATTACAGACTGATTTTAATTCCAAAGTATTTGCTCTTTATGTAACGTTGAATATGTCTGTGATGAGCTAAAAATATTTTTCAGGAGAAAATTATTTGCGCTTCTGGTGCTTATCTTTTTGCGGTTATGATGTTACTGCATACTTCAGAGCTGAACTGAACTGGGTACTTTTGAAATTTATGGCGAACGTGCGTTCACGGATTTGACAGAGGGGCATGTTTCGTACTTTTTTGATAATTGAAAACGTTTGCATCTCGCTTGATTGAACGCTTGTAGGTAGAGCACTTGTGTGTACTCTGTACTATACTTGCATATGCAACAACGCTTTGTGTGTGTGTGTGTGTGTGTGTGTGTGTGTGTGTGTGTGTGTGTGTGTGTGTGTGTGTGTGTGTGTGAGCTGGTGTTGTGAGTTTCTAGTCAGGTTACTAAGGATTGGTTTGTTAGTGCTCAAGTACCTCCTTGTTAAGTTAAAATATATGTTTGGTACTTGGTACCTGATGCTTTTTAATTATTAAGTAGATTAATATGTGTTATATCCAGAAGCACAAGCCGTGTTTTTCTTCACAGAGTTTTGCATTTTCATCGTTTAAAATTAGCAAACATGATTAGATCATAAACACATACAAAAACACATAAAAAACAAATAAACACACACACAAACACACCCAAACTCACAATCGTGGTATTTCTTCAATAAACTCAGACGACGATGACGATGATGTTAGAATTGTTCAGTAGAAATGTTTAAATTTTTGTATTAATGAACTTGAGTGCGGTTGTATGATTGAGTGTCGTTGTGTGTGTGTGTTTGTGTGTGTATATGTGTGTGTATGTGTGCGTGTGCATGTGTGTGTGCGTGTGTGTGTGTGGGGCTGGAACCAATTTAAAACGCACGCATGCATATGTTTCAATATGTAGACACAGCTAGGTAGGTGTTTGTGTGTAATTAAGAAAGCAGGTGTGCTGATATATAGGTGTGATATGCTCCCCTTATATTTTTATGTACCTGGCCCTGTGTTTGATTATCTGCTGGATTCTGTTATAGTGTGTTTGGTTAAGGTTATATCGTCTTGGTTGTGCGAACGCGATAGGTACATGTTGATCTCTGATTAACGTTCCTTTTCAATATTTTATTTTACGTTTTAAATTAAAGAGAATAAAAATAGAAAAACAAATTTTATAAAAATTAAAAAAAAATTTAATCCAGGGGGCCATGATACCTGCATTCCAGAACAGTTTCCATTGAAAGTTTCCACAGATTGGAAGGTTAACGAGCAAGAAAATGTGACAATCACAATATCTCTAATATGTTTGTTGTCTTGGACATACCTCACACTAATATTGTATATAATTTTTAATAAATAAATAATTAAATAAACTAATTATATATAAAGTAATATAATATAATACATATTTATAATGTATGCATATGTATATATAATATAATATAATACCTGAATGTATTCATGCATCATGTTCCATTTATGTTAATATTATGAGTATTTTAATAAGATTGATGTTCAATGATTTGTGATGTATTGATACGTTGGCGTGTTCTTACGTTTTAACGTTATAGTTTTTACGTAAGTTTATTTACATACCGTGATGGTTGTGTTTGATTTTATTCGCTGCTTAATGACATCAAGATGATGTTTATTGCATTTTTCAATCTTGCATGTTCGTTGTTTCGAGGTTGAATGAATTTGCACGTCTGCCGCTAAGAGGTTCCTCACTGTTCCTTCCTGCTGTTATAATGGCTATGTTTTTCTTTCATCCTGCTCGCTCCATATCTACATCCTCTTTTGTTTCCTTCACAAGTTTTCTACTTTTATTAATATTTCACTTTTTTAAATTTTAAATTATTCGTTTTTTTTAATTAGTAAATATCAACACATCAACAGTTTTTTGAAAAGCCAGTCTATAGAATGTGTTGTAAATGTAAATGATAAATTACACGGACGCACATAAAAACAGACGAACACGAACAAACACAGACGGACAGAACAACACATTCAAACGTAGAATCACACGGACGCACATAAAAACAGACGAACAAACACAGACGGACAGAACAACACATTCAAACGTAGAATCACCGACACACAAACATACTAAACAGGAAGATGTTTACTTTAAATTATCCCAATGCATCATCAGCTCATTAAGTAGTCCAAACAATTGATCTACGCATTGATCAAGTTAAACGCCGTACAATTAATCAGGCACTCCACGCCCGTCTTCCAAGACAGCATGCGATGTTTAACTAATGGACCGGCATATAATCGCCTGGTTCCTCAATAGTTTAGCTCACATTCTGAAACGTCATCATCGTTAATGTCATCATCATCATTACTGTCATCATCATGGTTACTTTTATCATCGTTACTGTCTTAATCATTACTGTCATCATCATTATTGTCATCATTCAAGTAACCATAATCGTCATCGTTCTTATCAATCTCATTATCACTAGAGCTCTTTATAATTGTAGCAATTTTTACAGCACAGCCCCCACCATCTCTTATCATGGTCAGTCACCAACGTCAGCATTTGCAATGAGTATTAAGTTGAATGATGTCCACTGAGTGAGTTACGGGAAAAATGAAGCGTTTCACATTTATTTTTATAAAACACTATTAATATTATCTTAAATATTGAAATAATAACGATGCATACATACATATAGAAAACAATACCAGCTGGCCATGAAATGAATAAACAGATAATTTAATAAATAAATAATCTTTTGCATTAATTTTTCAAATTGTCTTTCTAAGGTGCGAATAAACAACCTTGACAAATCAAGGCTTTACATTTAATTGTTATTTAACAGGCTTGAATGGTTCTGAAGCACAGAAAGAGCAGCATATCGGTAGATGAGGATCGTAAAAATGCTAATCATAAAAATGCCAACCAAATATTGACATAACTTATGAGAAATCTTCTGACTACTCGATAGGCAAACAAAACTCTGTGTGCACATTTTACCTCTTAACGTCTGCATGATTTAAAGTTTTATTTTTAAATTTCACTTTTAACTTAAATGATTTTCTCCAACTTAAGATCAAACTGAAATGATATGATACTCATCAACCGTTAGCGAGTTCATAAATTTGTTCATTTTTACGTAAAATTTCGATATTTTTCATAAAATTTCTTTCCCTGAAAATATGTCCCCTCAATTTTCCGACTGGTTGAACAATTTTTATCAAGTCTGTTTGCTTGACTTCCAACTAAACAACACTTCTAATTAATTCACCTTTGTTTGCTTTACGTTTATTTGTTCAGTTATTATTAATATTGCTGTTGTTTTTATAATAATAATAATCATTATTATTATTATTATTTATTGAAAAGAAGTTAGTTTCACAGAACTCATACACTGCTCTGCCACTTTTTCAATCCGGTAATGTATCGTTGAGGATCATCACCAACAATAACGTTTTTGTTGCAAATAGGAAATAATTTACCAAAAAGATAATTTCACTTTAGGACAACCAGCATTTATTATTCAATTTTTTTTTTCAATCAGTCAATCGAATTCAATGATATGAGGTAAACAAAATTATTTGGACAGGCGTGATGCAGTATGGCATGCTAGAGCCGTAAGTTCTCTATAATAATAATAATATATAATAATAAATTAATTATAGTAATAAATAATAGAGATATGGAATGACTTAAGTAATTTCAAAAATTAATTCGCATATATGTATAGCACACACGTTAACGTTTGTATCACACGTGCTCTGCAAGCATCACACACAGACAGAAAGCATTTCGTATAATCGTATTTTGTTATCTATCAATCTGTATTTCATGGACTGTTTTGTTTATGCTTGTTTGCTGCTTTTGTTANCAGGTATGTGTAAGTTTGGTTGAGTTTTTATGTTGTTTGGTTGCGTTTCTATGTTTGCGAGTATTTGTATGCGTGGCTGTACGTGCGTGTTTGCGTTTGTGTGTGTGTGTGTCTGTGTGTGTATCATACTATTTGTTTATATTTTTATTGTTTTTTTTTAAACCTTGGCATCCGTGGACGATATAATATGTTATGCTTGTAAATTATTTTGTTTGTAACTTTATGAATTTTCGAAAAAGTGTAAACATTAAAATGTCTTTCAGCCACTAACCAATCAATCGTTCGTTCATCAATTCAGCTATTCATTTATTAATATCTTGCATGTTTCATTTTTTGTTTGCTTTTCAATTTTCTCATTTGGCGGAAAACGATTTGTTTGAGCGTTTGAACTGTTTTTGAAGAATAAACGCAGCAAGGAGCTGAATTTGTTGATATCAAATTCACTCTTGTTACATCATGCTTAACCATTCCATCATTCAATTTTCAAGTTTGTTCAACCATCATTACATTTGCTCGTATAACTAATCATCATATTTTTTATACTGACATCATCATTTTTGAATAAGTGTATCGACAAGCAATAACGTTGTATTCTACATTTTTATCGTTCTTCATTTTTTAACCTTTTCCTCGTCGCAAGCAATTACTCTTAAAAGTAATATTGATGAAAGCAAATACCTTTTTACATACATTTGTGTAGATTTATATATATTTTGAAGTGCGAACGCGTGCGTGTGTATTGTATGTGAATATGTACATATATCGACAAAATTATTAGCCGATTATTTTGTTTTTGAAAAATTCAACCTAAAGAATTTTTGGATTTTTGAATGCAAAAAGATATATTGGCAAAACATGTGAGCATGTTAATACAAATGCGAGGTGGATAAAAACAAATTTGATGGAGAGGGCCAAGTTATGACAATTCTGAAATTTGACGGATGGAAGAAGAATGAGAAAATAACAAATTTGTGCTAGAAAATTAAGCTGGCAACTATTTTTTGTTATTACGTCAATTTTTCTCAATATTTTTAAAAATAAAACAATGTTTTTTCTGTGCAAAAAAAACTAAGTCTCACTGTATTTTAATACGAAGACTGCTTAGAACCAGGGTGGCAATGGACCTTCCACTTCTCCCACCTCTTAATCTGCCACAGCGATCAAAACAACGCATATAAAAAAGCAGCATCATATTTGAAAACTTCCAACAACATAGAACAAGAGGTCCAAAATTCAAAATTGCAATAAATTTATTAATTTGCAACTATGACAATTTTGATAACAATTAAATGGCTAATAATTTTGTCTTTAATTATTGCACATATCTTATACATTGTTTATATTAATATATATATATATATATATAATTATATATCAATATATATTTATCTATATTTATATTCT